TGTGTGTGTGTGTGTGTGTGTGTGTGTGTGTGTGTGTGTGTGTGTGTGTGTTTGTGTATGTTTGTGAGAACATGAGCATTTGAGTACAAGACGGGCATGCTCTCATGTGTGTTTGAGGATAGAAATAGATGAGCTCATTACGAAAATCACAAGCACCGCTGAGAATTATACGGGTACAAACAAATGAGGCCAAAAACTACTATCCCCCAAATAGAATATGAGCGGTGCACAAAGCGTCGGCAGCAGGAGAGCCGAGTAAGGACGAGTGATTAACCATCAGGAAACCCCAATTATTTTGTCAGCATCTTACCGCATGCACGCTAAAACGGAACTGAGCAGCTCAATAATCAAAATATACCACCTGCACGTGGAAATAAGAAAAAGAAAAGGTGGTTTTAGAAGCTTCCGTTGCTCACTTTACAACGTATTCATTCAAAGAAATAAGAGGAGGTTATAATAGTCAATGAGACAAACTAAAAATATCGAAGATACATCCTGTGATGCATTATATTCAACTGTGATTCAAGAATTTAAGAAGCGTTTGCCACAATAGTGAACATAAAACGAACTTGATTGCGTTTTTTTAAATAGTAAAGAGTGTTTAAAGGAAAGATGATTTCAAAAAAGAAAATGAAAGAGGTGCGTTGCCTTGCAACACCAACTAGCCGATCGTCTTGAAGATTATGGCAAAAGTTGAGGACAGGAAGTTGAGGAGGGGTCGCAAAATAATCCATAGACGCATTTAATATAAAACATGTAAACAAGAATATTTTAAAAGGATATCTACCCTAAGAGGAATAGATTTTTTTTCTCAAAATTTGCTTTACTCACGACAAAACTGCTTTGCTTCAACCACTTGTCCATTTTGTTGGTTTTATATGCTAGTGTACTTGAAAGAGAAGCATTCGCGCGCTCATATGACCTTAGCAGTTGCGAGCGCCGTAAAACCTATACTATACTATACACGCGGTAAATAACTGTTGGAGATTAAGCTTGTGAACCAACAAATTGTAATAGATACTGAGCACCCATGTTGTTCAGGTGAATCTATACATTTTGGTTTGTTTATTGCTCTATCACTTTCCGAGTTTTTTTCATTAGTGGTGGGCAGCTGCAATGAATGAACTGCAGTTATATGGAAAGCTTGGCACGTACATATTAATATTAGGGTGTTAAATTTGTAAGTACACAGAAAAGAGGTACCAAAATTTCACTTTAAAAAATCTAAATGCAAGTGTTTTTACGCTCCCATCGACATAAATTAGTTTCTTTAGGGGGTAGGTTTCTGACTCTGGGAGAAACAACGTCCCAACAGAAAGACCACAACACTTAAAAATTTTTTCTCCCCATTCAGAATCGAAATCACGTCTTCCGCTTGCCACAGCAAAGCGCCCAACCGCTACACAACAGACAGCGGTGCGAAATTTCACTTTGTAAAATACCAAAGAGATAGAATTGACAAATAAATAGATATGCCAAACGTGTCGACCATCAATTGTCAATGTCAACAATATATCGCCATTTTCAATACAGAAACCGAACTTAAACAAAAACAACAGAAAAGTTTAAAAAACCCCCCAAAACTAGATAAAACCCATCTCTGCAATTTGCATAATGAAGCAACCAGCATCTCAATGCCGCCTATTCGAGTTTTTCAATCATCCGGGATTTTCCTCAACCATACCTCGACTTTTTCACCAGCAACTCACAATGGGCAGAGGCTCCACAGACATCGCTTATTTCTCTCCCAATCCCGATAAAACACCCCCTCCCCCTTCCTTTCTTCTCGACTAGATATTGTAGTCTGCACGCCCCGCCTGCAGACGATAGATGATATCGACCCAGCAGAAGAGACTTACCAATGGCGCCTAGTTTGAGTTTAAGTAAAGAGAAACACATCGGCACGAAAACAGCCTTTTAGAGTGCAGAAGTGTACTTAAAAGCAAGACAGACAGACACAATCAAGGTTAAGTAAAGGAGCAGAACCTACAAGTAGCCCCCTCCAAACAATTGCTTGCAAAACCTATAGCATTACTAAATAATATGTTGTACAACAAATGGCAAAATTATCATTATGATGTGGTTCCATCGGTCACATAAAGCGTGTTTGAGGTTTAATTTGATTTGGAACATCTCTTTTCATTGAATCAATATCACTTATTGAGTGTCTTTGTTCCGATCCATCAACCATGTCGCTTCAGTGACGGAGGGCAGAAACAACTCCACTACAGTTCTACATCTACACGAACATTTTTAACTACATATTCTTTGGCAGAACAAAGATAAGTCTCCTACGTAAAGCACTGTTCCGTATTTTCAGTGGCATTTTCTTTTTATTTATTTACTGTCATTGAATTGATTTTAGGTATTGATTTTAACAGAGCCTGAAGTTCAGCACTGGGACATATTCATCAAAAATGATAGCTAGCACATACTTTACACAATTTAATCATTTAGATAAAGTAAGAAGTGGATTGTTTCAACCCGGCCTGCCTGTGCCAACCCGTACTATGTAGGATTCATGCAAGATGAGACACTCAATAGAACATAATTGTCTTCTCTACAAGGGAATCAAACTTACTCCCTCTCGAGAAGACAGTGTCGAGTTTTAGACGACGTTGAGTCTCAGACAATGTTTCGTTACAGCAACTCCTGAACACAGGCAGTCCTACAGAAAGAAGTTTCTTCTTATCTTCGATATTCGTTAAATTTCTCCAAACTGTTTCAGTCAGATATTGGAACGTTATCATTCCTGGCCGTGACAGAGTCTGCTTATATAATCCACGAAATTTTTCTAATGAAAATCAAAGGCCACTGTAAACATTAAGTCTGGAAAAATAAAATCAAGCTTCGTGTATTACGAAGGTTGCTACAAAAATTCTGTAAAATGATTCGGTTAAAGTTCTCGAAAGGTAAATACGTGTATCATTTGAAAGTTGAGCTTCAGAATTATTCAAACACACATCAGTGTGTCATTTAATTTCTAAGATTAATGATAATAGCAGCAGAGCAAGTCTTTTTAAAATGATAAAGAAAAGTTAATTTTTATTGGCTTGATCCCCTTAAATGTCTTGAATACTGGTGGTTTGTTTGTTTTACTTTGTTCTCTTTACATTGCAAATGGTTTTCATCATTAAGGTATACTTCTGTTCTTAAATGTTTTGGAATACTCAACATGCTCAAAGGTAAGAATCTAATAGCAACCAGCTTTAAAAACAAAACGTCTCTTCTCTCTCCCTGTCTCTGTCCCTCCCATCCTTCCCTTTCACTTATAATTCCCAGACAAAAGTTTGGACAGCGCAGAAGAAGATTTGACTAAAAATGTCATTTCAAATAAGAAAGTGAATTTCAACAGTATTACGTCACTTCCTTGAATAAGCATTAATAAATTGTTAAAAAAAACAACAACCCCCCCCCCAAAAAAAAACCAAACAAACATCAAAACCCAACAACTTTATACAGCTGTTTTGCAATGCATGTTGACCTTCAACAAGATAGAAAGGAAAGAGATTATCAATCAGTCAGGAACATTACAATCGATTTTAAGAAACGACACAACAGAATCTTTCTCTTTGTTTCAAAGAAAGGGAGAGGAAAAGCTGTAGGGGGCTCAGGTGGTAAAATGTAACCCCTCCCTTCCCCACCCCCCCCTTTTTGTGCCTTAACTACGCTGCAAATAGTTTGAAAGAAAGCTTTGAAAAAAAATCTGGGGGTGGGATGAGGGTGGAGATGCAGATCTGGTTTCAATGCAGTAAGGTTATTTAAGATGTTGGAAGGAACCTAATTAAGTAGGAGAGAAGCAAGAACAGTCCTCAAATACGCATAGTCCGGGATTCAACCAAATTTACAGGCACTGAAGATTAATGTGATACTAACTATGCCAGCTAGAGGCACATCCACTACGATTTGATTTGTGAGAAGAGAAAGGGAAGGGGAACAGAGGGAGTGAGGGGAAAGAAAGTGCGCAACATGTACACACTGCCTGGAAAAGGAATGGATAACACACACGTGATAACTCTGTGGGAAAGCTGATGGGTTAGGAAGGCTATACGAAGAACACAACAACCGAGACGAGTTTGTCTGCGGGAAAAGTAAGAACGGGGAATGCCACAGGGATTGAGGGTAGATAAAAAAAATATAATGAGAAACCGAAGCGGGGAAAATAGCGCCCAGACTGCAAACCTTTCAACACCACATGCGATCAAAGCCAGTACACAGAAAAAGGGGGGTTTGTTGTTGTTTTCTTCTCCCTCTCTCCCTTGGAGCCGTCTTACCTTGAGCTTTTTTCTTTCGCGTTGTCATAGCAACGTTTCCGACATTTCTTGCGACCCGAGATCGGTGCTAGTACTTTGTTTGCTACGTAAGGAATCAAAATCCTCCCCAAAGTAGTCAGTTTGGGCGGCTCCGTGCCGTTTAATCACGTAGGGCCCATTCCTCTTCAGGTACCTGTCTGATTTCGCCGACAACGACGTGTTCTCCTCCTCGTCCTCCTCGTCATCGTCATCATCGTCGTCGTCGTCCAAGTCGCCTTGCTCCGGTCTGGCCCCCCCGAACGTCTGTTCCGGCGTCTGTCCGGCGGCTGTCATCTCGGCCAGCTCTTTGGCGCTGCAGTTTGGCGTGTCCACGGGGATGGTGTTGTGAAAGCGGGAAAAGTCTATCTGGTACTGTCCGTTCTCCTTCTGGAATGTAACGAGGCGCTCGAACCGATGCCCCCAGAGGACCTCCCCGGGCAGGTAAGAGCTCCGCGCCTGGGTGGTCATGCCCGTGCTCTCCACGATGCCCTCCAGGATGACGATCAGCTCAAACTGCTCTCGGTGAAGATCTTCAGGCGACAACTCCCAGAACGGACTATCCTCGTCGATTTTATGTACAATGATGACGGGCCACACGAGGAACAGGCGGTCCCGACCTTCGTCGAAACCTAAATCAACGTCGAACTGGAACAAAGGCAGCACGTCGCCCTCTTTCGTGATCTTCTTTTTGATCAACACGGCTCGTATATGCGCTTCGACTATCTGAGACTTCCGCATGTCTCCCACACGTAATAACAAGCAAAGGTCGCCGTCCTGCTTACAGATGCACGCGCTTTTGCTGAACATTAACGTCTCTGCTCGCTTTTTAGGTCTGGAAAGTTTTGCGAACACAATCCCAGTCATGAGGGCCTGGCAAATGACCCCAAAACACGACTGAAACATCATGAGGACGATGGCCTCAGGGCATTCTTCGGTAGTATGCCGCGTTCCATAGCCGATTGTGTGCTGGGTTTCGATGGAGAATAGGAGAGCGGAGGTGAACGTCTTGATCTCTAGCACGCATGGCTTCCAGTCTTGGTTTTCCAAGTGGTCGAGGTCGCCGTGCGAGAAACAGACTAACCACCAAATCAGTGCAAATATGAGCCAGCTGAAGGTGAAGGCTAAAGCAAAAAGCAGGAGGTTGTACCTCCATTTGATGTCTACTAAAGTAGTGAATATGTCGGCTAAATACCGTCGCCGTCGTTTGCGGATGTTTGTCTGTGTGATGTTGACCTCGCCGTTCTTGTAGACGAGCCGCCGGCGCATGCGCTTGCTGTAGTGGGAGGTGCCTCGGCGGGGATGTATGTTAGCCCCGCCCACTCCCGAGGCGGCGGCGTTGGTGATGGCTGTGCGGACATGGCGTTGGGCGTATTCCCGAAACGAGTCCTGGGAATCTCGCCGGTTGTCGGAAACCTGGGGAAGAGATACGAAAGTAAAAATGAGAATGGGGGAGTTTCTCGACTTCCTACTAAAAACAGATGGTTATTTCGGAGGCTGACCGGTAGGCTACCCCCCCCCCCCCCAGACACTGAGCACAAGAATAATAGTTCACTCTAAACTCAGATATGCGCTACAAAATTATGTATTGTAGATAGCCAACTGAGGCACAATGGGAGACACCTTCTACAATACAGTCTGAGTTGTCTGACATGCTTGTTCTAAGGCTCAACACCTAATTAATTCAACACAGTTTGGCGATAGGCTATACAATTGAGCATAACTCTCTGGTACAAGTAGAGAAGTATGAAGGCAGGGGGGGGTACACCAAAAGAGAATTCGCACGTGAAAAAATACGCCTGATTGTATATGCCCATGAAGACTCTATGACTATTATCCACTATTGGGTATGTAGCTGCTAGTATTGAATGAGTCAATTATTACATCCCTTTCTTCAATTTCACCTTCCTATTTTGGGGATGGGGCTAATTAATAATCACGATTTCACCAATCATTTTGACTACAGTGAAAAACAAAGAAAGGGAGTGATACAGTTCATACTCTCGAAGTACTTTTTTTTCTCAGCAAGATACAGTAAAATAACTAAAACAGAGTCAATGCAACAATAGCAACAACAAAATAAACGGCAGGAGCGCAATCAATAACAATGATAAAAAGGCAAAAATAGAGACCAATTCCTACAGGATTTATGAAAAAAGACAAAATATTGTTGATTTGAGATCAAATCCAAAAGCAGAAAGAACAACGGCGTAATGGTGGATAACAGTAAAGTGTTGTTTACTTCCAACTCTTAAGCCCTCTCCCATCTTCTTTTCCACTTCTTAACCCTCACCCCCAAAACACACACACGCACACACACACACACACACACACACACACACACACACACACACACACACTCACACACACTCACACACGCACAAACACATACCCCCCCACACACCATCACCACCCCCAATATCATCTCTACGTAAACGCTCACACGCACAGCAAACACAAACTTAGCCATCCACAAACCCAGCTTGCCAAAGTAAATGCGAGAAAAAGAAACCAACCAATTTCCCTAAACAAAAAAGTCCGACTTTCACACTTTCCACCTTTAGGCATTTCATCATCAGACTCAAACTAAGCAAACAGTCAAGCCACCAATCAATACTTAGAATCAACTAGCTGGGATGAAACCAAGTCATCTGGAGTATAAATCCTCATTTCATCGTTGTAGTTTATCTGAAGTCAACACAATCTATTGGGATTTCTTTAGATCAACCGTCACTCGCATACACCTCCATTAGCAGGTAATGTGTAATGACAATGTCACAAATAAAGGTTAACACCCTGTGGGATTGCCAATATCCAGAGCTATCGATTAAGGCCACAAAGTGTTGAAACTTGCATAAACAACAATGTTGGTCACGGTTGTCAGAGAAGAATACACGAGGCTGTTATTCTACGGATTCGTTTGAAAATTCTGACAAAAATAGGACCCCATTCCTTGGAAGGTGTCCCTCGGGTTCATTCGAAATAAACCATTATATTTATACAGAAAACAGATGGAGTGTTATCAATTATTACATTTCTCGGTTTTCACCAGATTCTGACGCCCCACTGAGCACAAAACGAGATACATTAGAAGGAAGTAATACATACCTTTACCAAAATATAATACCCGTGATCTACGATTTTACACCCAGGGCTCAAGCACTAAAGCCCAGCTACGCATTAATAGAGCCAACAGTACACCCTCATATTACCTTTATAAGCGAACGTTTCTGATCTTTCCCCAACCTTCTACTCCCGACTAATCATCATTTCCTGTGTGGATAATCAAATAAAATATAATTTCTTTTTGGGAGCGATCAATAAAAGGCAAATGTAAGAAACTAGGACAGAATCTGGACTCGGACGTTAATGCTTCATTACCGAGGCCGTTGTAAATTTTATTACAAACATTAAGCTTCTTACAAAACTGCTTGCTGTGGAAGTGAAAAGCTGCATTTTAAATCGTCTTAGTTCAAGATCAATATTTTCGTTTGAATAAATGGGAACCAATTTTTGGTTTGACGGTGTGCATGGCACATAAAGTAATCTGTAAACTATATTTTTGGGTGTTTTTTTTGGGGGGGGAGGGGGGGGGTTATGTTGGTGGCTAACAAGCTTTGCTATCGTGCGGGCGACCCTGGTTAGTTTAAAAGAATCCTCAACTTAGAAAGCTTGCAATCTACAGTTTAGGAAGTGATTGTTTTTGTTTCAATAAATGTTTTACGACACTAGCAACACAATAAGGTCATAAGGCCATGCACCAAAAATTAGAGGTATTACAAGAAGATAATAAACTCAATAAAGAAGGAAGAGAGATGCGCTTGATGCATGTTTAATTTGAGGGAAGGAACAAACCACACCAGAGCACCCGCCAATCATCCGAAACCACAAATTAGTTTTACGTTTAGTAAAGTAAAGCACATGAGACACGATAACGTCATTACGATGATGATCAGGTACAGAGACAAAACATAAAATAAAGAGAGGAAAACGGTAGTGCCTCCCAGAACAGCCTTCCAGCAATCCTTGCACAAATTGACAGGCTAACAAGCTGGCAATATACAGAGACGTACATAAAGACTCCCCCCCCCCCGACGATACGGATGAACAGAATATTTTCTTTTTCTTCGTTCATGCCAACACATTCAAACATTAAATCATAGCCCCAAAAAGCCACCTCATCCAGGTGATAAAGCAATCTCAAGGCCAAGCGTTGAGACCACCTCGGCACAGAGGTGGTTTTGACTTCCGCAGACTCTGATATCCATGGGATTTTCCAGGTTTTTCTTATTTCTTTTATTCTTTTCGCACGTTATTTTTTTTAAATCACCGTCTTCCCGCCGAGTTCGGATTGCCTCTCTCGCACCATCGTGACCTGACGAATTGCACGTAAAGCAGTAAGCTAAAGAAGGTATTGGCCTGTCTGAATACACACATAAATACGCATCATTCAATAAATCAATTCATCCACGTTTTCTGAAAGACCAGGCCACCCACCACCCAAAGTTTGCCAGTTCTTCTGTGTGTCTGTTCCTTCACCTACATGTGTGTCTTGTGTTGATGCATGCACCAATGTCAGTGTGTCCACTCCAAACGCCTGAAACAGCTCACGGTCAGTTCCTTTACTCATCACCTTCCATAAACCGCACCCAAATTCGCTCTCGCTCTCTCTCTCTCTCTCTCTCTCTCTCTCTCTCTCTCGCTTTCGCTCTCTCTCTCTCTCTCTCTCTCTGTCTCTCTCTCTCTCTCTCTCCACACCTCATCTCTTTA